ATCTTGTATCAAATCTGAAACAAGATTAATGTAAAGAAAAGTAATGAATTAAAAAAAAAAAGTGTAAGCTGAAACTTTCTAGAGGAAAATACATAAACAGCTAAAAATTCTTTTTTACTGTCTCCTGTATTAAGCTCAACAATCACTGTGAAAACTGAAGTTTGTAGATAGATTCTCAACTGCTATTTACTTAACACAGAATTTAACACTTCTGTGTGTCTCCTCAAACTAGGGAGGAGAAAGCAGCTGCCTCCACATATTGTCAGACAAGTTCATTCAGCTATTTTATATTGAAGAGAATACAGAAGAAATCCCCAAACTAAGGTGCTCAGATATCAATGAAGTGCTCTTGAATTCGGAATAAACAATGCATGCAAAGACATTTTTTAAAAGTTTAAAATTAACCACAATTGAAAGCGTATTTCTCTTACACAAAAAAAAAAATCCCTTTTGTACAGTGCTTTTAGATTTCAATATTATTTTAATTACACTTTTCAACAAATAAAAATAAACCTAACGTACAGGCTGAATTTTCTGTTTACACATTAGAAAAAAAAAAAATTAAGTTTTAGATTCTCTTTAGCTAATAGCGCTAAGGATATCTTCAAATTTCGACTGTCCACACTCTAGTCCCTGGTGAGGAAACTACATCTCTCTGAACTAAGTGTCTATTGATTTACATTATTTTAGCCATTTACAGATCTCTGCGTTTGTGTCACCAAGTCCAACTCTCACTTTTAAAATTATGATAACAAAAAAGGCAATAATCGATTGCTACAAATCTGAAAGTACCACCAAGTGGCAGGTGGGACCCATAATATGCCCCAGTTTGCAAATCATTGTTCAGAATTCGCATCATTCAGATTATTTGTTTTACCACTGAATTGCAATTTTCACATTTACAAGATTCAAGATTATTTTTTTTTCCCTCTAAGCGAATGCCTTGCAAAATTAAAATACTTGAACTCTAACCTTGTTTCATTATAAACTAACAGAAAGACAGTGATGCAGAAATGCTTCAGACACAGAAGACAGAAATATCACCACGGCATTACTGCTTGCAACGGTCATATGCGAGTGAAAAAATAACACAGTAATAAAGACAGAATACATGCATGTAAGGATACAATAATTTGTATCATACAAAGCAGCCTTTACTTATTGTCTCTTCCTTAGACCAGAAGGAAATCTCAGAAATCCCTAAATCTAATACTATTACAAAATACCACCACAAGCTAAGGGCAGCAGAGAGAAGATACCACGTAACAAACATTCGCAGAGTTTCAAAGTAGTTTCAGGTATTGCTTTAGACATAAGGGGGCCAGAGAACACTCCTAAGCAACACAAAGAATTCTACAGACTATAGAATTTGACTTCTTTGCAGCAGAATAAACACGCTCGAGTGGCCACCACTCATTTCAGAATCCAAGCTGTGCACAGGTTGCTGCTGTTGGCCAGCTAACATAAAGCTGGGTCAGATGCAACTATCTGAAACTGCCAACAAAAACTGAACAGGTGACTAAGGGGCAGGCGAAACCCACACGTCGCCCATTTCTCGGGCATTCTTCAGATGCTTTTAGTTTCCAGTTGAAGTGCTCAGTTCTAATTCTGAAGTATGAAAAATAATATTCTTTACATACCATAGTACCATCACTGTTTGCAAACAAAATTTCATCCCTCACACCTCTATAAACCTATTGACTTCGATTAATTTATCTAAGTCATAGACACCTCTATTTTGAGGTTGGAATCCCGTTTCATCCACCAGCAGATGTCTTCCACCTTCTTCTTCCAAAATCTGAAGAAAAGCCCTACCTGTTATCCAGCAACACTGTTGTAAAATAACTGTGGTCACTAACAGAAGCTTACGCATATGTGCTGTAACACGGTTTTGGCAAAAAGGCACATCATCACTTTTCTGAGCAATTACAAGTCACAATATTCTCAATTAAAGGCTGACTGAAACGAAATTACACTTAAAGCAATACGGCCATCATGAACTACACTGTTCTCCAAACCTCCACTCAATTTAATCCCATTTATAAAGTGCAACACCAAACAACCTGACACAGCAGCTCAGCATGCAAACTCGCTAACGATGAAGGCAACGGACTGACAGCGGAAGACGGATACATTTAATGGATGACGCACACAGTCCTCTTGGAGAAGGCAGGAACTTCACTACTGCGCTACACTACCGGTTTAAAAACGAGCTACCCTCCGCAAAGGCAGGCATTTTACAGAATACTAGTGCTCTAGTAATGCCTTTTTGGGAAGAGGGGGACTATAAAACACCTAATACTAATAGACCTTAACTACCTCACAGATTTGCACGGTATTTACAAAGCAAAACCAGAAAGCACAGCATCTGTAAGAAAATACAACTTGAAGTGGAGCGGAAATGTGTGCGTTTGGTGGTTGGCTGCTTTTTTGGAGGAGAGCTTTGCCTTTTTTTTTTTTTTAAAAAAAAAACCCTTTTTGCAAGGGAATCATTCATTCACATACAATATACCAATGTGCTGCATACGGACTGACACGTGGTAAGTCAGCCAGTAAGGCTGCCGTCCCTAACCACTAACCTCCAAAGGCATGTCTCTTAGCTAACTGTAGGCAATCCTTTACATATTCTGTAACACATGTCATAGAGCTATGCAATTCTGGGATAACAACACTCAAGAAATCAAACCAGTATCAGCTGAAAGATGATACACTGCAAGAATTTCTAATTTGTCCTGAAGGAGAAACTTAGCTTTTCAAAGATATTACAAATAATATATGTATATTTTCACTGGTATCCGCATTTCAGATCAAAGAAGCTGCCTGAATAAGACTAAGTCAACTAAAAATAGTCCTTTAATAAGCATGTACCAGCAGAAACTTCCCTCTAAAATACTTAATTTTATTAGTGAAATGGTACCAAAGATAACAAGTATACAAACAATCTCTTTGCTCTATGCTACTTACACATCATAAATAAGACAGCTGTTGTTGCAAGACACAATCCTTCACAGTCTTCCCGTAAGCATACAGATTTGTCATTCTTTTATCAGAATAAGCTGTTTACCAGCCAACAGCACGTGGCTTAAACATCACAAAAATGACTGTTGATACTTTACATGGTAAAGCATTTTCTATAGTCTTAAATGTACACAGTGGCAAGAACATTAAATCCATCGAAAATGAAGAGTGATTAAGCAGTTTCACAATCAGACTGGGTTTCATTACCTTAGGAATTGGGTAAACTTTTCATTCCTTGTAATATGCTTTTTTTTTTTCTTGAAGAGTTAACTATGCAAAGGAACAGAAAAACCAATAGAAAGCAAATAGCTAATATGCTATTAAGTATTTTTTTAACTGAAAGAAATAACTCTTCCCATGAGGTAAGGCAATTGAGTCATTCGATTGTATTAAGTTATATTAAAAATAATCTACTCGATTTTAGGTATAGGTCAGTTTTAAAGGTATGACTCTTAAGAAATCTCATGTAACCAATTTAGTTCAGAAACACAAGCCATGTTTTTACCTTGACAAAAATATTTGCTTTGTCATTCTCTTCTTACATGCTTTCTTCCCAAAGAATGAAAAAAGAATCTCTACCATATAACCCCTGTGTAAATTAGAACCTTTTTCCCCCAATTATTTATCCCCCTTTCTTTGCTTACAATTCCTTTTATATCACCCAACAGGCATCACAGAAGACGGTGGAGAGGTAACAATTAAGGCCATCCAAATGCAGATTAAATGTCTAAAGGGTTGTCTTTGATGCAGGTGATCAGAAAATGCTTTGTATTCAGCTACTACTTTTGTATAGTGGTGGTCCCAAATTGCATCATTGCTTTCATCTATAAATCTCTTCTAAAAATAAAAAATAAAAGTGAAAATGGAGCTTTAGTATTTTAACAAGTGAATCAAACAACTGTTCTGACAAACCACTTGCATTCTTGTCTACAGTATGGTGGTGGCAAAATAGCAATAGAGATCATGTAAGATTTAGCTGAAAATGAGTAATAGCACATATACATTTCTAGAAAATACCACATTTTAAGAAGGCACTAAAGCTTCTGCTTGTGCTCCCACATTTTTTTAAACAAATAAGAAAAATTCATTTTCATAATGGCACCTGTACTATTTGCAGCTGAACAGACACACTGCAGTACGGCTCAAAACAAAGCTGTAAGTTCTGATAATATCATACATATGTGCTCACTTCTGGAAGGATAAAAGAAAACAACCAAACAAAACAACCCAAAAATAGCCCGGTAAGCTAATCTATTATCTATAACATGGCAATGTTCCTTTTAGGAACAGAAAAAGTAGCATGCATTGTTCAAATACTTCAAAAGAAATTTTAATTTTAGGGATATTAGTAAGAAATTCTTTTAAATAATAAAACCCAAGAATCTCAAGCAGTGAGCAAATGAAAAACATACTAGTCAGTGGGTATTATCATAAGAACCGTAAAACTGTGTTTATGTTTAAAAAACCTTTCCCTAAACCCTACAGTTGTCATTTACAACAAAAGTGTGTATATTTATGCACCATTTCCAAGCACATCAAACAGTACACATTGAAGTTTTTGGGAATTTTTAACCCACAAGGTAAAACAAATATGAAAATCATCAACAAGCAGTATTTTAAACAACCTTCAATGCATATCTTCAGCTTTTTTGGGGTTTACATCTTTCAGTTTCTACTTACTTGTAACAGATTATGGCAAAACTTAACATAAATCATTTTACAAATAAGTACAGCCATCATGGAAATACATGGATTTTCAGAGATGAATACTTCTGATGGCATCTGTCTTTTCATGGTATAACTACTGGTCCGTGCTCTCTTGCTTTACAGCAAGAAGACAACAGAGCTATCACAAGAACTGGAAGAGCTACTAGTACTACCAACACATTCAGGTTGATTGCTTTGACATTTTCTTCCTCATTCTGGGAAACAAGAAGCTTTGGATTTCATTCCTTAGTTGAATCAGAGGTCCATTCTTTGCTTTAAACTTCTTCCATTTTAATTGAGAGATTCTCTTCATTTGGTTGACAGTTCCCATTCTGTTGTAGTTTCACTTCATCTGTCCTCTGTGTATCTCTGTTGTCTACTTCCTTGTCAGTTTCTGAATTCTGATCCCCTTTAGTGTGATCTTTGTCCTACCAAAGATAAAATTATTTTACAAAAAAAAAAATCATATTCTTATCATTATAGGATATGACTTCCAACCAACTGTTGGTATTTTTATTGTCTCAAATTTCACATGCATATCCTGTCTTGTTTTAGAATAGTGGTGTCAGCTTCTTTTCCTTTTTTTTTTTTTTAAAGTTTTCTTTTCAGTTGGCTGATGTTAGGCACTTACAACAACCCATCATCCAAGAAATTATTGCCATAAAGTGATCTGTCTTTATCATCAATATTCACAAAAACTAGAACAAGCAACATTATGGTACCCATAAGAAACAGCTCCAGAAACTAAGATTTCACCATATTTTCTAAATACCACGGGATTAATTTTTTTCGTTCACATTTTTTGGTTCTGATGCACTTTAAGATAGTTCTTGAGTGAGATAATTACTTAAGCACATGGACAGAGTCACCTAAACCAGCTGTTTTGTAACAGTTGAGTAATTCTGAGTATAACAAATTACTCTTTAAAGGCATGCTGCTTTTCCAATTCTAAGATGTTTCTTTTCTTAATCACATCACCTTCTACTTTTCAGGGGAAAATCCCATACCACTCTTCCCCAACTTTTCAACTTTATTCCTGCAGAGTTCAATACACCGACCAGGACCAAAGCAACCAGGCAGAGGCTGAACTGCAGAGTGAAAGTTTACAAATAAAGTAATCTTTTCAGTTTGACAGCCAAGCTGTCCCTGAACACTGCTACTTAGTTTACATAGTTTGCTTCCTGCCCCCCCAGGAATGGGCAGCCAGACAATTCCTAACATATGGCAGAGAACAGGAAAAGAAAATCAAAACGAAGTGTTTCTGTAACCTATTCACACGAGCTCCTATAGGTGTAGTAAAGTTCAAACACAGACTTATCAAACTGGCCCACTGACATCAACTGTAGGTCTCCAACTGGCAAAAGCTAAACCCAAACAACAGGAGAAAAAGAAGGGAGCAGGAAAAGAAAGAAAAAGAAGGGAGGGAATTTCAATAATGGTTCCACTAGCACCACTTCACTTTCTTTATCACTTGGTCACACAGCTTACCTTCACAGTAGTGGTGCTTTTGTCAGATTTCTCCTTTCCTTCTTTTTCTCTGCTACTTTTTTTCTTGGAGGTGGAGCGTTCTCTTTCTCTTCTTTCATTATTTGTATCTCTTTCTCTTTTTTTTTCTTTCTTGTTTCTGTTTAAGAAAATTTTTACTCAAATCAGAATTTGATCCAAAAGCAACAACCTTCAAACCATTTAACTGCAAACCAAACTCTCATCTGTGGGTTTTCCAAAAAAACCCAAACGTAACAAAAAATCCTTCTCAAAGACAAAGGAATTTTTTGACCGAAGAGAGCTAAAGAATGCATGTGTTCAGGATGCATGGTATTTGCAAAGAGAAAACCAAATTAATCTGTATTCGATGAAGACCTTTTATTGATTTCAAGAAAATTTGCATAGTTGACAGATTTTAAACTCTCCAGTTGAAAGCACACCGAACCTCAAATCCATGAAGGTTTTTGTTTTCTTTTTGTTTTGAATTAAAACTGAATCATACTGACCCACTGAAATCATCTGAGATGATTATTGTGAAGACAGGAAAACAATGAAAATACTATAAATCCTTCCTCCTTTACTGCTCATTAACTTTTATGTTTACATTACACTGACCTTCTTGGAGAAGGAGTTCGTGAAGACTTTCTTTTTGTTGTTTTGGATGTTTTAGGAGACTTGGAGGGACTTCTACTCTTCCTTTTACGCCTTTCTCTACAGGACCAAGAAATTCAAGATCATCAAAGAATAAAAATAATAAACTCAAGAACCAGATAAAAACAGAAAGCTCTTAAAATGATTTGACAAAATAACTAAGTACGCATCACTGTATTTAACATTATGTATCACCAACAATGTACAAAACAAACAAACAAAAAGTCAAAAACTGAGCCAGTAAAGCTTCATTCAACAGAAACGTTCTGTTAAAGTAAGATGATTTTGTCCTATCACCTTTTCATAGAGCAGGAAAAGCGGACAGGAAGAACCATTAAAGAAAAATATGGAAGTGAAAAACTAACTGAGAGGGCACTTCAAGATATGGCGCAAAAGCTACACTTACGCACACCAGCTTTTGCAATTCACACCATTAGGTGTGAATATTTCTATCTTCAATATTTAGAAAGGCCAAGAAATCAACAGTTATCAAGTAAGTTACAAAAGGATATATCTCTGACCTCCTGAAACTGTACAGGACAACATTTCATAACTATTTTGTTCAGCAAGCTGTCAAGTTTGATTCAATATTTGGTAAACAAAAACATAAAGTGGCCTCAAAATCACAGAGAAAATAACACAAGCACTGATCAGCTCTTCATTATTCAACATGCATCTCATTTTGAACACCCTCACATTTATCATCACCTTTTTTCAAATGAGGATACTGGAGATTTATGTATTGTTCTGACAGTGCTCCCACTTGGGCTACATTGAGTACATCCCCACTTTAATTTGCCTTCCAGCATATATGTATCTGTGACTAACCAAGTGCCTCGGTAATTGTGTTCATATCAGAAAATGTTTATTCATGGAATCTAATGATTCAGTTTCTGCTTTTCATATTTCAAGTTGAAGAACTACAGCTGTGTCTGACACTATTTTTTCCCACCTCTACCACATTTTTGTGCATGTTTTTTAACACTCTTAAGCAATATTAATACAGCAAAATTTAAGAAAAAAAAGTCTGAATACTTTAATAGTGATCCTGTGTCTCTTTATCATACATAGAACCTATCATCTTTGCTAGTCTGTAGATATCTGCTGGAAAAGGTGCCAGATCTTCTGCTTTCTCTGGTCTGTGTCTCTTCCTTCAGCTAGGAATAACAAATAGCTGTCTGATTTCTAGTATTGCATGCTGTCTGTCAGTAAAGGAAGGCCAGTCACCACCAAGTTATTAGAAGGTCCTGTATGTCCTATTCCACCTTCACCTCTTCTCCAAAAGATGACTATTTGTCCAGTATTTTACACTCATCAGCTAAAGGATCAGCCGTCCCAACTCAGTGCTGCACTGTAAATCCAAGCAGCTGAAATGCCAGTCTGTTCAATAATCTTATCCCGAAAGGTTTGTAACCATTTCAGTCAGGCAACCAAGTAAACAGATACATACCTCTAAATGCAAGCTAGCTGGGACTCTGTAGTCCAACCTAGTCATAATTATTTTTCACAGAATAACAGAATTACTGATGCTGGAAGAGCCCTCTGGAGTCCACCTAATCCAACCTCTCCCTCCCTCATCTTAAAACAGGATCAACTAGAGCTGGTTACTCAGGGCCAAATCCAGTCAGATTTTTACTACCTCCACAGATGGAGACTCTGAAACCTCTCAATGGTGACTGGTTCCAGTTTGTCCAGAAAACACAAAATTTAAATGTCAGAAAAAAGCTTTTATTTCCCATATATCAATACGTGCCTACTGTCTCTTAGCCTGTCACTGGCCACCAGTGAGAAGTCTGGCTCTGTCTTCTTCACATTCTTCCATCAGGTATTCTCACACATGGGTAAGATCCCTTTCCAAGCCTTCTCTTCTCCAAGATAAACAATCCCTGCTCTCTCAGTTTCTCCTCTTATGACGGATGTTCCAAGCCGTTTATCAGTTTTGTGGCCCTTCAGTGGACTAACTCTACTATGTCTCTTGTGTGTTTCTTGAAATGGGGAGCCCAGAACTGGACACAGGTTTCCAGATGTCACCTCACTGGTGCTGAGGAGAGGGAAAGAATCACCTTCCTTGGCCTGCTCACAGCATTCTGCCTAATGCAGCTCAGCACACTGCTGACTTTCTTGGCTGCAAGGACACCCAGCTCCTTTTCTGCCAGCCAGCCCTCCAGCCAGTCAGCCCCCATGCTGTGTACTGGTCCTGCCCGGCTGTAGGACTTGGGCTTTTCCCTTTGTTCAACCCCACGAGATGCCTGTCAGCCCATTTTTCCTGTGTATCGAGGTTTCTCTGAATGGCAGCACACTCCTCTGGTGTACTAGTCCCTTCTCCCTGGCCCGCAAACTTGCCAAGAGTGTACTCTGTCCCACTGTCTAGGCCACTGATAAAGATGTTCAACAGTATTGGCCCCAGTACTGATACTCTAAGGATAACGCTATATCTGAAGAAAGAATTGTAAATCCATATAAGAAAGTGTATTTCTCTCATCCTCCATCTTCAAAAGAACACTGTCCTTGTTTACTAACATCTGTATAAAAAAGAATTAACTCCACATCAAAGTAGGGTTTTGTACCATGAGTCCACTAGAAGACATGAACTGATTTTCACTACAATTCTTTGCCCAAGTACATGGTATTTGCACCTTCCATGGCGCTTTCTTAAATAGCAAGATTCTTGAAGGGGAGCATAATTGTTGCAAGTTAGAATATAAATTTTTCGTAATGTCCAGCTATTTGACATTAGGAATTGGGTCTTCCAAAGTTCTTCCATAAGCTACACATTGTGAGAATCTTTAACTTTTTTTTTGTATTTATTTAATTCAATGCTCCTGAGCCCTACAGACAGAAAATGTTATGTTTTGAAAGATGGCAGAACTACCTCTACTCTGCGTAAGTCTTCAATATATGAAATAATGTAAAAAATGCATTAAAACAGGAAGCTGCATATGCTTAAAGAAACCACAGTATTTTGCCCATAAACCTCCAAAACAACATAGACAATTCATATAACACAAACAGAATGTTCAGAAATCCTTACACTCTCTTCTGCCTTGTACGAACGATGAACTCCTGAATTGTGAGCATTGTGAGAATTTTTTTTCTGTTCAGTGAAACTATAGTATGTAGAACTTTTCCCGGTTCATCCAGCATTTCACTCTCTCAAGGCAACAGACAAAATTTGCTAAATTTGACCTGTGGTATTACTGAACTCCCCAATTCCTGGGGTATTCAGAAAGGATTTTTTTCCACTAAAGCTTCTGAACTTAAGTTAGTCACAAGGCTTTTAGAATATGCCTGAACTAGTACGCTTACAGAGCTTATAATCAACCTCACAGCCTCCTTTTGGCATACTGAATTTATGTAGACTTATGCTCCGTTCAGCCTCCCTCAGAGGAAAAACAACAGCTACATTAACTTGAATGTTTTCGTGTTTACTACCAGCATTGTTAAGGAATGTTACTTTTCACTTGTACCTGGCCATCTAACCAGCTAAACAAGTTATCCTTATCTTCCAAATGAGATACATTCACCTTCTGAATGGCTAGCCTGCCAAGTGATATGCTTGCTTCCTGCTGTTCAGCCATCCAGCTGAAGAGTGGCAAGTACTACCACTCAACTCTTCCTAAGATCTACAGACCAACACCGTACAGTATGTAAGTAACCAAGGAACTACATAACAGTGACTCAAACTTTCATCAGGACAAAGATGATGTGTAATGTTGCTTTATCAGAACTTTTGCCTGGCTCCAACACAGAGAAATGGCGTAAGAATCATCTGCTTACTGTCCTTAGGACTGCACAATATGGTTATGTGAAAGACAAGCATCAGCGACCCAACAAGAAACTATGTTCTAGGAGGCATCACACAGAGCTCTGTATAATAGATTTTACTTTACAGGAAAAGCTACAAAACAGAAATAATACAGATTTAATTAGTAAGAGACATGGTGATATTGACATACAAAAACTGGGACAGTGCCTCACTGAACTGACAAGTCAAAAACCCACAAAAAAATTCTAAACAAACCTGCTGGAACTACGAGATCTTCTTGAAGAACTATAGCTTCTTGGGGGTGTTCTGGATCTCTTCTCTTTCTTCTTTCTATCATCTCTCTCTTTTTCTCTTTCTCGCTCCTTCTCCTTATCCCCATCTTTTTCCTTTTCTTTGTCTCTGTCTTTCTCTTTGTCCCCTGCTTTGTCCTTATCTCCCTCCTTGTCCTTAATCTTCTCTCTGTCCTTCTCTCCTTCTTTCTCAGTATCTTCTTTTTCCTTGTTCTGGTCTACCTCTTCCCTGTCTTTTTCCTTCTCCTTATCTTTCTCCTTTTCCTTGTCCTTGTCCCGGTCCCTATCTTTGTCCTTATCCCTCTCTCTATCTCTGTCTTTGTCTCTGACTCTCTCTCGATCTTTGTTCCGGTCTTTATCTCGCTCTCTCTCCTTCTCCTTGTTTCTCTCTTTATCTCGCTCTCTTTCCCATGTCTCTCTCTTTCTCCTTTTCTTTGGCCTTTTCCTTTTCCTTGACCTTTTCTTTGTCTCTTTTCTTGTCCCTGTGAAAAGCCAAACACAAATCATTAACGATTTTTTGAATTTGAAATTTTGAATAATATTACAACTAACTCTTTAACATACATTAATCGCTCAAGATAAAGTACATGTTTCTGCTGAAAAACAGTAATTATTCAATATTTTAATTTTCCACCCTGCTCACCATGAAGGAAAGATTATATATGGAGAAGGAGAGGCCAAAATCAAATCAAACTGATCTTCAGAGTGATGTTATTACACTTTGAGAGAATATGTCTCTTCATCTCACATTTATATTATTATACATGATAAATTTTCTACATGTTGTCAGCAGCAAGACAAACTCTACAATCTGTAAATCCACTCTTTATTAAAAGCGTGTCCACATAAAATGGATTGCAGATTAACCACTCCCATATGAATAATGACAGCTGACTGACAGAAGTCTTTATTCTATAGTGTTCTCTCACACAGATTCACCCTGGAATTGTTTGGATGTCCAACAACAATTAATACACCAAAATAAAAAAATAGGGATGAAATTTCACCAAATAAATTCCGTCAAAAGGCAAATGTAAGGTCAAATTCAACCACGACAATCCAATCACCTGTAATGTCACTAGGAATTTGAAAATTACTGAAAACTTGTTCATACAGTAAAAAGAGAAGCAAAGACAACAGAACGAGTCAGCTTCTTTGCGACAGACAGAATGATACCTGCTCATAAAAAGAAGAACAGTGAGAAAAATTCCAACTGATGATCTAGTCATCAAGCCAAACAAAAATTGATTAGATCACAGCTTTGGATGGAAGATTACATTTTGGTATAGGATTATTTGGAAGTGCGAGACTCCGTCTTTCCTTTCTACCAGAGACACGCATAACTCCTAGACATGCACCACTAGAACATATGAAAATGAACAACTGTTCAGAGACAGAAACAAGAGAAAGCACAAGAGGAGAAGCTGACTAGCAGGCCTTCACATGTCCAAGAGAACCAGACTGATGAAGTTGCTGTATCTATTGATAATGGTACCTATTCCAGGATTTTTAAAGATTCTCAAAAAGACTCCTTCACACATGAAAGGTCCTAAGCACAGTCCCCACCTTTCTTCAACAGAAGAAGTGTTTGGCTGTGTCTTCTCAACTGCTAATAAATAGTAGGCGGCTGTATGCTCTGTGACCTAACAACCTTTTTTCCCATCAGGTTTTGGAAAATACTTCATTAGAGGTCTCAGAGAAGGAATGTAAGACCATAAAGATGAACCAGCACACAATCCCTGCAATAGCAGAGTCTCACAATGTCCCAAGAAGTGTCTTCCAGGTAATTTATCATAGACATTTCATTGGACTCGCCCCTTCCAGTGAGCAGGTACCTCAAGAAACCCCAGACAGCAGCAAGAGACAATCAAAAGGATCCATCAATAAAGCCCAGCTAGCTACGTAGCCTATTCCTGTTTCTGCTGAGGTCCACAGATCTGCAATTCTCTTTCCCACAAAACTTCTTCCCTCAAAAAACAAGAGGAAACCACACAATCTAAGTATGGAGTTCCCTTTAAATGAATCAGGAGAATTATGCAAAAGAAACAGAAAGAAAACTATCAAGACTTCTATTTATTAAACTACTTTCACAGGCACTTGTAAATATTCACTATGTCATCCCCCAGAAAATTAGCTTATTATCTTGTTGGAATTTCACAGTTCAATAATTAGACAATCAGACTTAAAAATTAATAGCTAGGTAAAATACAGATGTATTAGACCCTGAAATCAAATACGCCAAATAACAGACACGCACATTTGTGTCCACAGCACCGTATGGCCAATATGAGATAGCCAAAGCTGAAAATAAAAGCTCACGAACAAAAACTTTACACATGTTCTCAGAATGCGGGATCTCAACAGATATATACTTAACAAGCATCATCCACTTTTTTATGGGTTGCACAGGTTACACAGAACATTCCTAATCTATTGGTTAAAGTCTGGCAATTAAAGTTACCGGTTTTCAGTCATTGGTATAAACACAGACTAGACTATCAAATCTCAGGTATCTCAGTGTGGTTGTTGAACATCTGCAGGCACCATATGAGCTACTATGAGAAAAACCAACTCTATTCAAGCCAAAACCAGTACACTCAGCATTAAAATTCACTTTCTGCTCTTTTATCTCACAGACAAAGCCTAGAGACAGGCTAAAGCATTTAGAGATTCCACCCTTTACCATCACCTAAAATATTTGGGTTTTTTTTTCAAAAATTCTGTATTGTATGCTAAGAAGAAGAGCAGCATTTCTTAGGAACGGAACTCACCGAGAACGAGAGCAACTTCTTGATTTCCGCCTTTCCCTAGACCTAGACCGTTTCTTCAGGGGACTTCTGGATCTGCGTCTGTCCTTGTGTCTTGAGAGTGACCTGTTGCCAGATCTACTTCTATATGAACAACACCAGAAGAAAAATACTTTAATATTGAAACTAAGTCAACCAACAAACGAAAAAAAAAATCTTGCCTTACTACATAAAATTATATGACTGCCTACCAACATTTTTGCAAATACAGATACTTTATGCTTCAACAGGTGCACAAGGCCTCCTTTGAAACAATGCACCATTTAAGTAATACCCATGTTTCATAATAACCTTCATGAACATTCTGGAAAACAAATTCACATCACATTAGGATAGCTGTCCTTAGTAAATTGCAGTGCATAAAATCTATAGACAATTTCAAGCAGCTTGTAAAAATAATTAGTTACATTTTCTTTCTTTTTCAGGCAGTGTCACTTATTGGAGTCTTGGTCACTGAAGAAAGATGGCTGTAACTGGTCTCTTTTTGCTTTGTTCTCCAGCCTCACAATTTAAATGAATTTAAAAAACACACACCAAACCAAAAAAACCCCAAACAACCACTATCTGTGGTTCAGCATTTAGTCAAGTTACCTTTTCAGATTAAAAGATTCATTGGCATGGATTTCAAATATAAGAGTGAACATTTACTACACAAAAAATAAGGAACATAAATAATGTTCAGATACTCTGATAAAAATCCAACTAAAGCCTTCTGATAAACATACACAGTATAGTCACAGACTTGATGAAGAAAATAACAGCTTTTAAAAATTACTATATTGCTTTTTTCAAAGATATTCCCTATTTTTGGAAGATCATACTCCCTAGCAAGGCAAAAATAAAATGCTGAATTTGAACATTAAGATTCAAAACCCCACATCATAGGATATTTTGCCCAAGAGGTTAAGGTACCATGAAGTTTAACGTACCAAAGACAGAAAGGCCATGTATATTACTCAATAAATCCTGAAGAACAGGGAGGTACAAAAAATACCAGCTCCACCTGTCTTCTGCAGCTTAAGACACACACAGTAATATACCCTAACCTGAGAGGCAACCATTTTTTACTTACAGCTTTTCTGCGCTTGTCAGCGTAGAGATACAAACTAACCACAGAGCAAATTAATTACAATTGAGTCAAGACATGACTTTGAATAAATTTTATATTGTAGAGATGAAAAAGATTTAAGTGATCTATAAAACAGTAAAACAAGGAAGTGGTACGGATAGTTTATTCTTAGAGATGAAGTTGCCTCAACAGACCAGACTGGCCTTTCTTCAGTATGTTCTCAAAACTGACAAAAGCAGTGGTAAATAATTTTTAAAAAAAACAAACACACACACCAAACCAAACAAAAAAAAAATAACAACCCACCAAAACATAACCATCAACTGTTGTTTAAAGCACAGGTTTTCCACAAGTAAAAACATGCAAGTTTATCTTCTAAGAATCAACTTAGTTTGCATCAATACAAAATAGTACTGAGATTACTGCAGTGTTATACGAAACAAAGACTGGTTTTCACTTACGTCCTGAATTAGACAAACAGCAGAGAAGCGAATGATAAGGAAGTGACCACATGATTCTTCTTGCATCAAAAAGGTATCTAATATTTTTATGTCATTAGATAACACGTACTGTGGTGTCTTGCTATTGCAAAACTGAAGCCTGCATTTATATCGTATTTGTCTGGTCATATAATTGACGACAATTCCCTCTGGAAAGCTTTTCTGTATCTAAAAGAACTCTAGTTGCCTTGTTAAAAGATGATGCATGAAAGGATACACCAGAGCTGTTGCTGCAACACTGACAACACTCAACTTTTTAAGGTGTAAGCTATCAAACACATTCTGAATTTCTGAATTTCTTCTTTTTTTCCAATACTTATCATAGCCAAATATCTTTAGTTTGATTACATAAAAGTTCGTAAGCCATTCCTAACAATGAAAGAATCTGAACCATTTCAGGAAGCATTTTTAAGCCTCACATAGCAAGACTGTTTCTTGGAAAAAATCTTAATGGGTATACTTTAATTCCGTATCATGCAGCTTCATGCCTGCTACATAGATCAGGGTTGATCAGGAAGCTGGAAACTTTATCTCTTCAGGGGTGGGGAGGGTTCTCTTGGTCTCTTCTCAGACTCTTGGAGTTCTCTCTCTCTCTCTCTCTCTCTGTCTTTGGGCCTCTCACTCGTCTAGGATGAGTGTTGGGACTTACCTGTTTTGGGATCACTTGACTGGACAGGGAAGGTGTTGGTTGCCAAGTGGTGAGCAATTAGACTGTGCACCGCTTGTTTGTACATACTGTTATCATTATGTATATATATTCACGCAGTATTATTATTTTATCATTATTACTTTTAATTTTATCTTCTTATTACTATTAAACTGTTCTTATCTCAACCCATGAGTGCCCTTCTCTTTTTCCCCTTAAATTCTATTCCCATTCCCCAGGGGGTAAGGGAGGGTGAGCAAGTGGCTGCGTGCCATTTGGTTGCCAGCTGGATTAAACCACAAACAAAATCTGAAGAATGAAAAACTGTTCCTAAAGCCTTTTACTTCTGCTTTTAAAAATCACAGCTTTACATCTACAGTACAATGAATAAAAATCTTGCATTTGTTAAAACTCAATGTTTAGAATTTAGGACATTAGGAACTTTCTACTAGCAAAACCAGGCAGCCTATCTGCTCAGGATGTTAACAGCAAACTACACGTTCGACCCATAAAATAGAGGTGACTATTTCTTTTTAAAATACAGGTCACAAGATGATATTATGCTACACGGCACAAAACATATCATAAAACCATAGAAATGGTTATGCCACATGGCACAAAAAGTGCCTTCTATTGTGCTTTAACTGAGAGCAATCCTGAAAACATTTAGCATTTAGAGGGAAAGAACATCTGTTCAGAAACAAAGTTCCTTGTTACTCTGATCTGCTCCGTAAGTTAGTAATCTTCTCCACAGGGATACTTGTCTTATAACTCAGTAGGAAATGTTGAGTAACCACCATCACTTAAAAAAACATAGTCCAAAATAAAAAATATACCTACCTGTGTTTTGAGTGTGACCTTTTCCTTCTAGATCGGGATTTTGAGCTAGACCTGGATTCTGAACGAGAATGGGAACGAGATCGACCGCCTTTTCTTTCATTGCTCTTTCCAGACTCTGAGAGGAAAAAACCACTTTGCAGTGTAAGCTCAGAACATTTAAAGATCCCAGTTAACAATCTGGCACAAGTGGAATGTACCACATATAGTGCAAGGGGCCTACTCTTTGCACTTCTTCCTTCTTTGCAAAAATCCTTCAGAAACATCCAAGAAAGTCATTGCATATACTCGTTGAGTGCAGCCATCCTGCAGCAGTACACATAAACCAGATAATTATAAACAGCTAGCTCTATTAGGAATGGGATTTATGTTGCTGCCACAATGCACAAGATCACAACATGTTCTCCTCTTGGTCTATTATTTAATATAATTACTTTCTCTTTTTTAAAATAACCTGAGAATAGAGTAAATTTAGAGGGCGTAATTTTGAAAACAAGCATAAAACGTAAATAATAATAATTAGTATTTTCTGTACTTTCAGATATTTCAACCACCACACAAATATTGACCTTTTATTCCTCAAACATTATTTTGTGGGAGGAACGGATGGAAAGAACAGGGCGAAAAGTTTGATCCAAAGACCAGGAAGTCAACAGAAAACGTAACAGTGACCTCACTGGGCTTTGGTTCAGACTCTTTTAAAAGATTGTTATTCTGCTGTTTAACATTAAGGAAATGTTAGAGCTATTTTTCTTCCAACCCTAAAAAACAACAGAAGATACTCACCCACTCCCCCAAAAAACCCCCACAAGACTCTGCACTATCTAACATAAGACAATGTCTGGGTTTGTTAGTAAGAAGAATGACAAAATCTCATTGATGAAAAGAAGAAGGAGGATCTCAACTGCAAGTTTAACAAGCTGAGAATTTTTTTGTGCTGTGGTTTTGCAATCAGTTTCAGTCAGCATAAATCAGCACTGAAATGTCTGTCTAAATTCTCAGCCTACAAACACTCTCCTCCTTGACCTGGCATTTCAGAGTTAACAGGGATCAGGGAACCAATCTGGATGAAAAAAAGTAATCTACAATATGCTAAGTTTTATCCCAGATTCATTATCTGATCTTATTTGCTATGAGGATGCACACAATCTTGAGTCAACATTAAAAAGCATAGCATACGGACAAAATTAACCTGCTGCAGATAAGAAAAGCATATTCCTACTGCTTTCAGAACCATGCTAGCTCCCTCTGATCATGAAACTATGGCATCAATGGGTGATGGAGGAGAACAAAACAAAATATAAAGCATTTTCTTTCAGAAGTCTGTAAATACTTCGAACTTAAAAAGCACCAACATTAAATATTTATTTAGCATTAACTTTGTATTTTTGAAAATATTCAGTAAGCATGTATCTGAAAATAAGACACAATGAAATAAAAAGTCAGTTCATTCCACCACTTTGTTGCACAAAAATAGTTTTGATTATTTTCTTTTTTTTCCAACACATGCTGTTCACCTTTAAGTACCATTTTCCTATGTTTGAAAACGCTCTCAAAAGCATGTACCAAGGTGCACACAGAACGTGTCTGTTAGATAACGAACATAACATACCCACCTGGCTCAATAGCAGCAGATATGAAAGACTGGGCTTCCCTTACTCTCTTCATCACTTCTTCCAGTTCCTTGGCAGCAGCTTGTGGTGTCATTTCAGGAGGCTTCACTATTGCATTATTGGAGTGATTTATTCTAAATTAAGGAAAAATAAAACTTTTAACTCCCAAACACTTGAAAAGGGAAAATGAAAAACAACTAAGAAAGGAAAACACCTCAACTTCCATGTATAACTAAAAACTTCAAAGTTCAGCAAAACTACAGATTTGTCCTAACACTCATCTATTCTAAGTATCTGAAATGTCTTTTATGGAAATGTTTTGTATGTTCTAGTAGAATTCTAGGAATCTACTTCTCTATTTCAGATCAAATCTCTACGTTAAGGCCTACTAATTACATACACATCATATAGAAAGCTTAATTAGTACTAAGGACTTTGCAGATTATTTCACTACTATAGCTTCCACTACCTCAAGATTAAATGTAAATACATTTTACTCAATGCCATGCATATTCTTCTCAGAGAAATTTATGCCAAACATTGAAACTGGAGTTTATAAAAATGTTAACGTTTGCTAACAATAGGTCCTTATATTGAAAAAATATGCACATCAGAGTCATAAAGGTATAGGGATAAAAGAAATCTCTCATTCAATAGTCAGATGGATAATTAATTTCTTACTTCAGTGGCCTGTCTCCAAACATAACTCCATTAAAGGCAAGAGCTCGAGGTACGGAATTTTGGTCTGCAAATTCCACAAAAGCAAATCGTGTTGGTTGCGTCTCATCACCTGCCATTCGCACAAATTTGACTTCTCCAACTTGCTTAAAGAATTCAAGCAGCTGATCTGCTGTTGTAGTCTAGAAAGAGTTGAAGAGCTCAGCTGAAGTAAAGCATATAATGAAAACCATTTGTCCAACATATGAGGTAATCTAAGAGCTACAAATTTTGCTAAGTTATCTCACCATTATTACATAGGCAACATGAATTTGGTAATGTTACACTTTAAGAAGGATAAGCATTTTTCTCCCATTAATGTACAGAATATACTACAATTTAAAATAGTGCAACCACAAGCCCTGAAGTCATACATCTAGGTTAAAAGAGCATTTGCACAGGATTTTGTACTTTTCAGGCAACTCATTTGAAATAACTGTTGAGGAATTTCCTCATACACTTTCCCTATACACCTGTGTCCAAGCTATTCACTGTGAAATTTGATCAACAACAACAAAAAATCCAAACAATACAAGACTTAGCTTTTATCTTTTTTTCTACTAGCTCCTAGCTTGTTTTACTTCATCACCATCAATAGTAATTTTACACTCTAGTAGTTACTTTGGCAGTCAAAACTCCCCCCAAATAAAACACTTTTATTGCCATCAGTCAAAAGCAAATCCTTTTTCAATTAATTCAATAAATTGCTGAAAAAACAAATTTCTGACAGACCTAACTTTCCTGTTATAGAAATGCAAAGGTATTTAAGCTGATTTTGCAACTTCCACTAGGACACATCATTCCAGCTCACCATACTTAAGCAACTGCATAGTGTTGAGGGGCACAGGTACCATGAGCTCACAACTTCTGAGGCACTGCTCAGGTAACACAACCCAGCGGGACATTTAATCGACACATACAATCATAAGTATGTTTCTTGAATTCAGCTACAGTGTGATTTCTCTGGTATCCTGCCAGAATAAATTTCACAGTCTGGTCTGATCTGATTGGCAGAGGAGCATTCAAAATTCGAAATATCACTAGTAACCAAAAAGAGTATTTTTGTTTAAATTCCTATTGTCATCAACTAATGAAAACTCTTTAACAAGTGAGACTGGAATTCTTAAATTACAATTATACACCTTCCATTAGCATTTCCATTACACAAGAAATAGCTACCTGGGAATTCAAGTTTCCAACATAGACTGTTCTCCTGATTTCATCAATTTTGGATGGATCCACATTCCCCATAATTGGTGGTTGTGGTATTTCTCCCAGTGCCGTAATGTTAGGGTCCAATGCTGCTGCTGGTATGGCCCCCAAAGTGCCAAGCGAGACACCAAGCTGGAAAACACAGAATATGCTCTGAAACTAAGCACTGTGGGCAGATACTCCACTTGTTAATACTTGCCTGCCTTGTGCATTTCTGTAAAAATAAGTCTAATGAATATAGGCAATACTTTAAACTTTAAGGTCCCAGCTGAGCACTTTTTTTAAAGAATACAAATCTTCCCATAAATCACCTTCAGTAGGTAAGATCTTCTGTGTGTTATCAGTTAACATTTTATCAAAGAAATCTGGCCAGGGATGCAGCATATCAATCAGTATACATATAGGCTTGAATTTCTAATGCTCACAGTCAATCAAATTGATTAAGATGCTTTTGGACCCTGCTTTTTTTGCCACAAGTATTAGGAGGAGACGAGGAACTGCTGAGCCCTTGCCCAGCAAGGGAAGAAGAGAAATTGCAGTGCCCAGGGCCAATTTATTCTGTAATAGATATCAGTCCATCAAATAGACAGATAGGTGCTTTCTGGACAAGCACATGACTTAAGGGGTACCACAGGGGGTACGTTAGTCACTAATGATGAGGACAAGGCTGAGGTCCTTAATGCCTTCTTTGCCTCAGTCTTTAATAATAAGGTCAACAGTTCCCAGGTGAGCTGGCCTATGGTGTCTGAGAGCAGGGAGGGAGAGCAAATCGAAGCTCCTGTGATCCAAGAGGAATGGGTCAAGGATTTGCTTCGCCAGCTGGATGCCCACAAGTCTATGGAGCCTGATGGTATCCATCCGAGAGTCCTGAGAGAGCTGGCGGATGTCATTGCCAAACCCCTGTTCATTATCTTTGGGCAGTCTTGGCTCACTGGGAAGTGCCGCTGGACTGGAGGCTGGCGGATGTTACCCCCATTTACAAAAAAGGGCGGAAGGAGGATCCAGGGAACTACAGACCCGTCAGTCTGACCTTGGTGACGGGCAAAGTCATGGAATAGGTTATCTTGAGTGCTATTAATGAGCACATACAGGTTAACCGGGTGATCAGGCCCAGTCAACATGGGTTTATGAAAGGCAGGTCTTGCCAATCAAAGCTGATCACCTTCTATGATGGGGTGACCCACCTGGTTGAGGAGGGAAGGGCTGTGGATGTAGTTTTCCTAGACCTCAGTAAAGCCTTTGATACAGTTTCTCATAGTGTTCTGGTTGAGAAACTGATAACTGCTGGCCCAGATAGGCACACCCTCCTTTGGGTTAAAAACCGGCTGGATGGCCGGGCCCCAAGAGTGGTGGTAAATGGGACTAAATCCGGCTGGAGGCCGGTCACCAGTGGGGTTCCCCAGGGCTCAGTGCTGGGTCCAGTTCTGTTTAACATCTTTATCAATGACCTGGATGAGGGAATTGAATGTACCCTCAGTAAATTTGCGGACAACACCAAGCTGGGAGGCTGTGTTGATCTGCT